TTTCAGAGAACGTATGCCTGTGTCTTTGGGTGCACGGGTCTCTCTGGAAGGGTAGGCAGGAAGTGTGCACATCTGTTCCCTCAGAGGACCACCTGGCAGGGGGCTGGTGATGACCTTTGCAGCGTTTCCTAGTTCACATCTTTCAAATTTTGAAGCCTGTGTAATCATCACTCCGTGTTCTGATCGATCTAAATGTCCACACTGCCTGACCCAGCAATAGCTCGCTGGGGGATCACTGGAGAAGCACCAGTCTCTGGTAGCATGGTTTTACCAGCAAAACTAGTGTGGGGGTGGGGAGGGTAAAATCTCCCCTGGTAAGACAACAGCCACCTTGGTAGCAACCCAAAGCCAAGTGTACCTATGGCCAGTTCCCTGGGTAAGTCCCCAAAGCGTGCAGGGAAGACAGTGGTTAACCCAATACTGTACTCTGGTGATAGGGAAATCGGGGAAGGAAGCCAGGCTGGTGATGGTTCAACATGGCCAACAGAGTTCCTGGCTTTGAACGGTCCGTGTGAAGAAGGTTGAAAGGGCCACTGTTTGGTCACCAATAGATTTAGCTCATGAAAACAAAGCCACATGGTACCATGAAACCATGGGGGCGGACAGAACCAACACTACTTTGAAGGGGTTTCACAAAGTTAGTGGAAAAATGAAAGCCAGGAAGCTCCCTCATCTCTATCTTACCTGGTATCAGGGGCTGAGCTGTGCCCCCCCTTCCCACCACCTGGCCCCAGTCGTTGTTACAGATCCTAACCCTGTTTCCTGTTTCTCATCCCATGGGGCACAGGCCTTCTCTTTTATTAATGAGGCAGGATCCTGCTGGGGTAAAAGAAACCAGGGACACCAAGTCAACTCCAACTCGACGCCACCCTAGATGGGATTTCCAAGGCTCTACCTCCTTATCAGAGCAGACAGCCTCATCTTTCTTCCCAACCTTGTGGTTGGCAAGGCAACACTTTCCCCACAGCACCCCAAGGGTTCCTGGAATCTGTCCTGAACATGCAGCCCTGGGTGAGAGCTGGGCTGCTGAAGCCGAGGTCGGTGGTTTGAGCCTACCAGCTGCACGCTGCGAGAGAGGCATGGCGCTCCTAAAGATGACCCACTGGCAAAGCCTTTGAGGGAAGGTCTACACTCTCCTGTTGGGTTTCCTTGACACTTGAAGGTAATGGCTGTGTGTGTGTGTGTGTGTGTGTGTAATCAAGCTCGTTATATATGGGGAGAGTGGGGGGCTTCAAAAAGGTCATGGAATTGAAAGATCATGGCATGGACCCACAAACGCTTCAGAGGCCCCTCATATAAAAGACTTCACCAGACAGCAGAGGGGGAGAGACACACCACAGGACCGTCAGGGACCTTAGGAATGGAAGCGGCAAACGGACAAGGGCTTTCTCCCAGAGCAGACAGTCCTCTCCATCCCACGCCTTGAATTTGACTTCCAGTCTCCGAAATGGAGGGAAGAGATGTTTGGTAAAGCCTTCCCCTTGGGGTATTGCTGTCGTGGCAGCCCTAGATCCCTAAACTAAATGCCAAATCAACGGAGGGCAAGTGCTCCCCAGAGCTGAGTTTCTGAGACTGCAAATCTCCTCGTTCCCCCGTGGAGCAGCTGCTGCCTTTGCGGTCAGCAGCCCAGCTGATCACGCATTCCGCCAACAGAGCACCTCAGATCACTAAACTCACTGCCATCAGGTCGACTCCGACTTACAGCAACCCGTCAGAACAGGGCAGAGGTGCTGCATGAGTTTCCGGGGCTGGAAGCCTTTGCAGGAGTAAAATGCCTCATCTTCTTCTGGCAGAGCGGTGGGTGCTTTTGAACTGCCACCCTTTCGGTGAGCAGCCCAAAGCATAACCCAACAGCTATTGTGCTTGCCAGGCATGGTGCCTAGCATCAGACTGGAGCTCACGCAGGGCCAGGCCCTGCTGCAGGCATGACGCAGGAAAATTCCTGGGCAGAAGCTCACGTGCTAATAAGCATCAGAGCCAAGATTGAAACGCAGGCCAGCTCCAAAGCCCCATGTCACTCACGCTCAAGGCGTCGCCTGCACTCTACAGCCCTGTCCAATACCTGTGTGTAAATGCACGGCCCTGCCAGGAGGAATCCCAGCTGGCCACAGGAATGAGCCTGCGGAAGGGAGAGGGCACCAGGGAGTGACTGTCAAGGGCTCTGCCCTCCTGTGGTGAGAAGGCAGTGTTCTCACAAGGAGAATTCTTTACAATGTGTACCGTCTCAGATGCACGCTCCACCGACAAACACCCCCGCTCAACTCACAGCTCGGGCCTTATAGACACAACTGAACAGCTAGCTCCCCAGGGCTTAAAAACCATACCAACTGCCCCCTCCGCCCCTCGGAGTTCAGCAGAGGGGAAACCACCTAAGAGGGGAGGGAGTGGCTTGAGAGCTCTCAGTCCTAACAGCGTCTTAGTCTTATCTGGTTCCTTAACAGAAATTCTACAAACAGGGAAAACCATGTAAGAGGGGAGGGAGTGGCTTGAGAGCTCTCTGTCCTAACAGCTGTCTTAGGTATCTGGTTCCTTCACTGAAATCCCACAAGCCCAGGTGGCTTTCACAACCGGGAACTTTGTTAAATTGTCACAGTTTGGAAGGTTAAGAGGATGAACTCAAGGTAATGAGGAGGGGCGGCATCTTTGTCTCCTCAGCTCCCATCCCTGGGCTCCTTGGTGACCTTATCATCTGTCTTCTCCCATCTCAACTTCTTTAATTCCTAGCCTAACCTGCCCCTTTCATATCTCAAGAGAGATCGGTTCAAGGTATGCCCTCCCCGATCCTTTCTCACGACCACCAACAGAGACAATCCATTCCCAGATGGGACCATAACCTCAGGGACAGGGGTTAGAATTTGCAACAATAACAAAAATTACTTTTGGTTCCCCCCTCCCCCGGCCCCACTATCATGATCTCAATTCTACCTTACAAATCTGGCTAGACCAAGGATATACACTGGTACAGATAGGAATTGGAAACACAGGGAATCCAGGACAGATGATCCCTTCAGGACCAATGCTGAGAGTGGCGATACCAGGAGGGTGGAGTGGAAAGGGGGAACCAATTGCAAGGATCTACATATAACCTCCTCCCTGGAGGATGGACAACAGAAAAGTGGGTGAAGGGAGATGTCGGACAGGGCAAGATATGACAAAGTAATAATTTATAAATTATCAAGGGTTCATGAGGGAGGGGCAGTGGGGAGGGAGGGGAAAAATAAGGAGCTGATGCCAGGGGCTGAGGTGGAGAGCAAATGTTTTGAGAATGATGATGGCAACAAATGTGCAAGTGTGCTTGACACAATGGATGGATGGATGGATGGATTGTGATGAGTTGTATGAGCTCCCAATAAAATGGTTTTTTTAAAAAACATTACTTGGGGGGGGGGCACAAGTCAATCCATAACAAGCACGAAGGTTTATCAGTAGAAAAATGGATCATCAAATGGTGGTATATCCATTACATAGCATAAAAAGAATGAAGTTGAATGGCACATGCCAGTGAGGAAAAAAACTGAAAGCAACCTTGTGTGACTACAGTTCTCACTGCTATCGACTCCATTCTGACCAATAGCGACCCTACAAGACAGGGTGGAACTTCCCCGTGAGTTTCCAAGACTGAAACTCCTTACAGGAGTAGAAAGCCCCTTCTTTCTCTTGTGGAATGCCTAGTCTCTTCAAACTGCTGAATAGCCCCTTCTCTCTCTCTCCCGTGCAGCTGGCTGGTGGTTTTGAACTGCTGACCGGACGGCTCATAGCCCAATGCATAACCACTGCGCCACCAGGGCTCCTAGGTGAATAGAGCTAGTTGCACATAAAGACACAATAGGATGGTGTTCTTTGTGGTAGGTCCCATCCAGTGGATTCCAACTCAGAATAACGACCACCCCCCTCCCAACAGAATGAAACACTGCCTGGTCCTACACCACCTTCACAATTGTTGCCACATTTGAGCCCACTGTTGAAGACACAACCCACAGCAGTCCATCTGTTTTACGACGGCTATCAACTCTGCCAAGCATAACTTCCTTCTCCGTTAGGAAAACATCAGCTAAACGGTCCAGTGGCATTGTCTGAACTTGAAAAAAACGTGTTCAGAACGCTATGGACACAGATGAAATAAATCAAAATAGGAAAGGATACGAACCCACTTAATAGCCGAGGCTACCTCTGAGGGGTTTCAAAGAACGCAACAAGGAGATCCACGTTTTATGTGTACTGCCAGACCCTGCAAACGCTGGAGGCTGAACACGTACAGATCTTCCACGGAAAGAGGCAGGAGAAAAGTGGAAAGACTGCACCCTGTCAAGGCAGGAAACTTTCAAGATGCAGAAAAATAAGGCCGCCGCATTGTGGGCTGACTGTCACGGGTTTCACTGTACAAGGGAGCTTCAAAAAGTTTACAGAAAACAGAGTGAAAAGATGGGGGAAGCCCCCTGGCGTGTGCATACATGCACATCTGTATGTCTCTACCACATACACAGCTATGGCCAAAGGTTAAAATAAGTTTGATTTAGGTTGTGAGTTACATGGCTGTGTGTGACAGTATCCTCCGTGTACTTCAGGGCAGCTGAAAGATTTCTACAGAAAAACAGAAAAAAGTAAACCATGCTAATGGAAGACGAGGGAAACGGTTAGGTTGCTCGATTCTGACCATAATTCTGTAGACTCAGTTGACTCGGAACAAGTGTTTACCCAAGGTGTACCATCCATCAGTAGGGACAATGCTGGCTGGCGTGAACACACCACCAACCACCACTTGGCCTGGACTTGATTAGGGGGACCCCGTGTGGTCACAGCAGAACGAGGCTCCACTGAGTTCTCAATGGCTGATTTTCCCCAAAGTCGGCCTTTCTTCCCAGGCAGTTGCTTCCGGGTGGACAGGAACCTTCCGCCCTTTCCGTTTGCGGGTCTGCCCTCGGGTTATTGTAATGCTGCCCGCCCTTAGGCGCTGCTCTAAGCCTTTTTCCTGTGCGAGCTCGGTGACCCTCGTGACACCACGTTCTGTTCTTTATGTCCAATTTGGAGCTGGGGAAACTGAGGCTCCGAGAGGCTAGGGAGCCTGTCCGAGGTCGCAGAGGTGCAGGGGGGCGCCCATCTCACAGACCGGAGCCGGAGTCCCACCCTACAGTCCCAAGGCAGCAGGGGTGGCCCACCCGCCCCCACGTACCGTGTAGAGTGTCAGGTCCACGTGTCGCCACAGCCACTGGTCGTCCACCAGCCTCTTCCAGCCGTGACAGACCCTGGGGGAGGGGATCCGCCGTTAGAACGCCCCCGGCCCCGGCGGGACCCGTCTGCCTCTCCGCATACACCCCCCAACCGGCCATTCCCCCCGCGGGGCGGGGCCGCACCTGGAGATGCGGATCCGGTCCCGGACCGGCAGGTAAGAGAAAATCTCCAACAGGACAGAGTCCGGCAGGTCGTCCAAAGACGCCATGGTCGCACTGCGGGCACTTCCGCTTCCGGCTAAGTGGACGCGGGCCAGGTGGGGTGGGCTTGCGCTTCAAGGAGCCCGAGACGAGAGTTAGGGAGAAGAGAGGCGCGGCTTCCAGTCCCTAGCGGAGAGCCTCGCCTCGCCTCTCCTCTCCTCTCGCGGGGACTCGGCTAGGCCCCGGGCCAGCTCCGCCCTAAGTCGGCACCGGCGCCGAGCACCAGACGGACTAGGGCT